AGATACATGTACCCCTGGGTTTATGCAGTGGTCTTGCAAGGGGGATGTCGACTTCTTCAGATATTTGTCTAGTTTTACAACAAGCTACATAAAAAGCAGCAGCAAAGTCAATACAAAGCAAAATTTCATTGGCAATGATTTGTTTCTCCTGCTCTGTATTCTATACGCTGAACAATAAGTGTGATATTTATATTCAGATTAATTTATATGCTAATTGTGTGGTAAAAATGAGAGAGTCAGCAGCTTCTCAGTAATAGTGTGTGGTGACACAGTTTGTATTTTGATATCTAATTTTTATAAGTGTTTAAGTGAGGTGAAATTTGCAAATACACAACAAACCAGACTCTAGAAAGGGGTCTAGTAGTCTGGGAAGGTTAAGGGCCGCGGCTGGGAATTAAGTGGAAGGAAAAAGGAGAAATGGGAAGGAGAGTGTGGGAGCTGGGAGAAGAGGATGGGGAAGGAGACATTAGCTTACAATAAATGTGAAGCGTTCAGCTCAGCATGAATTAGGAGTGGATCCTGTATGAGATCCTGCCCTGTTTCCTGGAGTCGAGCCTTTCACGTACGGCACTTTCTACAAGCCCAGCTCTAATTTCTTTGATTAATTTTTAAACATTATGCTGTCAGTTTTTATTTCCAATAAAGTTGAGATTTTAATTGGACTGGAACTTATTAAAGTGGAATCTTTTCTGTCAGTCGGAAGCAGCTCAGATGTGCTGATATTGTTAAAGTAGGACAGAGCTGAATTTTGCACTAAAGCAACATCTCATTTGCTTGTGTGCTTTGAAAATATTGGAAGCTTTGCACTTCAACCTTGCAGAATTATCACGCTTCAGAATCTCTTGTCTCCAGTTACAGTCACATGGCCCTTTCATGGCCATTAATTTTCAGTTTTGTTTTCCCAATTAAATGGCCTTGCTGAAAAGCACAGGTTAGGGGTCTCCTCAGAGGTGCCAAGCAATCAGCTGTACATCTGTTCATTGTTAGGGTGACTTGCCTGAAGTATTGTAATAAAAAAAGTTAGCAGCCAAGTGTTAGATGCAGTGGACAGGTCCTGGGGAGCTAAGCCTGGTTGCAAACTGACCATAATTGTGCACAAATGTACTAAAATTTACAGCTCTGAGAAATCTGGCACAACTAGCGTACAGTGTGAGGAAAAGCCTCCGAAATGAGGATGCCTAGTTAGACGGATGTTGGCAGGTCCCAGTTCTGCTGCCAGGTATGTGTAGTGCCCATATACACCTCCACCGACATCAAAACTGGGTTAATTATGTCTGCCCACAGACATCTGAGATGGGCCTGTTCTTGATCAAATACACCAAACTTCAAGGTGTTCCAGCTGGGGAGGGAAGGTTATAAGGAAAAGAGACAATCTGAAGTTTGTATGTGGATCTAGGATCGGATTCTGAATTCTTCTCCAAATTCAGTGGCTCTGTTTTACTTTGTCTGTCTTTGTCAAAAGCTGGGAATGGGGGACAGGAGCTGGATCGCTTGACGATGACCAGTTCTGTTCACTCCCTCTGTAGTGCCTGGCATTGGCCACTGTCAGAAGACAGGGTCCTGGGCTAGTAGGGTGGTTGGTCTGGCCCAATATGGCCGTTCTTATGACGCGTGGGGCTGACAGCCACTGTGGGCCCCAGGCAAGGTGTGGGGGAGGGCAGTTCCGTGCCCCAGAAGGGGCGGGGCCTTGAGCAGAAGGGGCAAGGCTGAGGGCAGTCAGCCCTTAGCACTGCCTAGAGTCCTAGACCATGGCATGCCCCCCTCAGCCCTCAGAGCCACGCAGAGCAGTGCTCCTGCGCTATTCAAATAGATTGGGGGCTCCCTGCACTGCTGTAGTAGCGGCTGTGGCTGGACGCTCCAGGCTGCTGGAGCAATTGCCTTCTTTCCTGCCCCTTCCCCCTGGCCCATTGGCAGGCCAGCTTGAGACCCTCATCCTTTTGCTCGGTTCTGCTGAGTCTTTCCGTACCATCTTTAGCCACTAGGGCAGTGTGTCGGCGCGTTGGGGGTTCCCCGTCTCCTGCACCCCGAAATGGCACAAACAGACTGCACCAGCCGGTGGAATAGAGGAAGTTTATTGCCTCTCCAGGATACAGCATAGCACAGATGTAATCTGGTCACAGAGCTGGGCTAGGATGCCTCAGGCCCCCTTGAGTTGGGGGGAGACTGGGCCCCTAAACTCCAGCTCCTCTCCCTAGGCTGTCTCCTCCATCCTTACAGACAGCCAGCAACCAACTCACTCACTTCCAGCCCTGCCCCCCAGCCAGGGCAGCATTCACCTTCCTTTGTTCCTCTCCATGGGGGGTGTCTGGCCACTGGTTCAACAAGTTTGGCATTACCTTGGCCTAGTGAGGTTTTCCCTGCTGGGTCTTGCTCCAGACAGCAGAGGTCACCACATCCCAGCAAGTACCCCCACTACGTCACAGGCAGTAACTTGTGTGCACATGAGGATGAGCTCGGATCATGACCACGCATGGCGTGCGATAGCTTTCGGCAAGCTACACGGAAATTCTTCCGGAACAGCCACCGTCTCTCCAAACAGGATTAGGTTTTCAGTGCTAAAGAAACCATTTCCTCCAAAGTGGCTCTTCAGAGGGGGGAGTGTTTTGATATTTGTACAATTGGAACTACATTTCTATACGACTCTATTAATAATTGTCAGGCAGGACCGAGTGGCAGGGAAGTCCCAGGTTCCCTGAGCAATCTGAGCGGAGCAGAAGCCCCAAAAGAACTAAAGCAGTTAACACTTAAAGTGAAGTCGCATGTGCAATACTTCTACTGAATTCATTGTGAAATGTGGCCACCCCGACACGATAATTCAATAGAGGTCTCTGGGGACCTGACTTGTACATCTTAGCCATTAGCCATTAAAAGGCAAATCCTGCCTCTGCCTAACCTGTTCGGTATCGCTGCAGAAGGGGGTTAGGACACATCCTCTGCTTGGTGGAGAGCCCTGTGCCAACAGGGCTCCCAGAATAGCAGCGTTAGGAGTACTGGGGGGCGGAGCCTTCTGCCCCACTGTAGGAGCTTGTATGGGAACGGTGTGTAAGCACCTCGGAGTGGCCTCAGAGACTCCGTGGAACATGGGGGACAGGACTGTCCCCATCTGTGCAGACTGGTGCTGGTAGGAGCATTTGAACTTAGGTGCCTGATCCGGAGTTCACAGAGGGAAGTGGGACGACTCGCAGTGAGCGTTGGAGCTGGTGCTCTGTGCACCACAGTGAAAACATGGCAATAACGTAGCATTCTTCCCCTAGAAAAGCTCTTACAGTTGTCCTCAGCATCAAGCACAACTCACACACCCCAGTGTTTCAATTCCCAGGTGCGTGTATCCCTGGTCATTGCCAACAGGGCGTTATGGACTTTGCACAGGTTATGGTACAGGAAATTTGGCAGGGGACTTGGAGCCAGGACACCTGACTCGCTCTCTGTCCTCACATCAGTCTTTGGAACCCTTCACCTCAGCCAGGGCTGCTTAACAACTTTTTGTTTATAACGGCCAGTTTGAGTTTTCAGTGAAACGGCTTCTTTTGGTAGAACGTTCCCAAACCCCGAAAAGTTTTAGCTGACAACCAAAGAGCTTTGATTTGAAAATGTCCTTGTGATAACTGGGTGCCTCGCACTGTTATTTGTAGTCACAGACAATGGCCCAGCACAGCACAAAAAGACTGACCTTTGCTGCCACACCTGCAAGAAGACAAGGGACAGCCGATGGACATGGACAGGTATGGGAGCACAGCTCGTGCCGATTAGCACGACAGCTGCAGCCTCTGAGCACGTAACAGTGAGGGTCTTTAAAGGCCTCAGGGCAAAGGCGATGTCTAAGGAGCATTCTGGAGGAAAACCATGAGATGGCTTTGCATGCTCAAAAGCAGGAAGGTGCTTGCCGGAAGATTTGACGGGTGGGTGACAGGTGGCCTTGCTGGTTGAGAGGAGGCGGACTGGGAGCTCTCATTGCAAGAGTGAACGAGGAGATACATAGCTAGGGCATAGGCTGCAAAGGGCCGTAGCTGAGTGGAAGCGGCTTTTGTTTCAGGCACAGAGAGAGGGGAACTAGCGGAGGGATGCAGAGAGATGTGACGTGGCCAAAGCAAACTTGCTAAATGATCCTTATGGCAGCATTTTGAATGGAGGTCAGTGGGGCCAGATTGCATTTGTGAAGGTCAAAGAAGAGGATCTCGTCCTAACCAAGAGACACATTGGCGAGAGCCTGACCAAGAGTTTCCGCAGTGTGGCTGAGAGGAGAGGTCACTGAAACAATACCATGCAGAAAGAAGAGGCCACGCATAGGCACAGAAAAGAAAGGGCTGAGTTAAGGTGACATCCAGGGCATGGACCTGAATGACAGGCAGGACGAGCTCTCTTTTAGCTGATAGGGGTCTGTGAGGAGATCTCGGGATGAGATTTTAGGGAGAACAGAAGCAGACTGGTCTGGAGCAGAGCCATGAGTTGTTGGCTTGGGGGGGGCTAACTGAGCTTGTATTTACAGAGGGGATTAGCCAGGGACAGGGGTCAAAGGAGAAGAGAAGGGGACTAAGGACAGAGCCCTGTGACACTGCCACAGAGAGTCGGAGTGTGAGGAGAAGCTTCTGACGAACAGGCTTCCTTGCAGGAGGCATAAGGGATCTGTTGAAAAAGGCTTTCTTTCTCGACAGATCCCCCTCTTCTGCCGCTTTTTGCCGACAAAGTGCTGAGTCGGCAAAACGTGGCAGCCATTTTTATGCAAATTAGGCGCAGGATATTTAAATCCCTGTCTCATTTGCAATGTCAACCTGCCTAATCTGCATCCCTCTGCCAACAGAGGAATGCAGTCTAGACATACCCTACGGTGCCACAGGACTATTCATTGTTTTTAAATTACAGACTAACATGGCTACCCCTCTGAGACATATCTGTGGAAAAAGGAGAGGTCATTCTCCCATTCCCCAGCTAGACTACATTTCCCACAATGCACAATGGCCAGGGATTCCCATGGTGCACCACAGAGAGACACCAAGGGAGACCCAGGAAGCCCAGATCACAGGAGAGAATGAGGCCTGAGAAGCCCAAACCGCAGCTCCACTGAGGCAGCATTACTAATTTGAAATGTTCAATTTTACTCTAAATTTTTGGATGAAAACTTTCAGAGTTCGAATTTTCACTGAAAACTCAAATTTTTGGAGAGTTAGGGGAAGAGAAGAAGGCGGGAAATTCTAGCAGCGCCGCTTCTCCATGGGTAAGTTAAGGATCACATTTGCCCTGCTGCCTAAGGTGCGTTAAGATCTTTGTTTGATAAAGTATTATGTAAATCAGTTTGTGTATATACACCGGTACCCAGCATAGCAGAGACTGTGTGTTACGGAACCAAGCTGCTTATTTTCATAGAAAAAAACAAATTTGCGATCCACTGATGCTTATAACCGACGCTCCTTCCATGTACTGTTCCTTTTTGCGCACAAAAGCTCATATGAGCACACAGACACTTTTGCTATCTGCCCACCACAAGGAAAACGTGTTGCTGCTGTTTTGATTCCTCTAGGGCTCAGTCCAACATGTATGTCCAGCCTAAGGGGGGAGGTTGTGTGAGATCAGGGCCTGCAGATGCACCGACCCCCCGCTGTGAACCTTCGCCTCCAGTGCAGGTAGTGCTGTGCCTGCCTGCAAAGAAAATCATATGTCGATGAAAAATAAGTGGCTTCATATTATCCCAAGTAAGATGCAGGTGATGTCCACAGAAAGTAGAATATTTGAGTTCTAAAGTAATCTTCCCTGGCAGTCAGTTATCATGCAGCCTCTGTACGCCAGTCTGCGGGGGGAGATCTTGAAGATGTAACCGAGTCATAGTGCTGCCACATCCTGTTGACGTCTCCTGATAACAGACCAGCAATGACTCCTTAAACAGTTCCCGGTTAGGACATGACTTAAAATGAGGGCAGGCGAATCCTGGTCTCTTTGACATCAGTGGAAATGTTGGCCTCAAGTTTGGTGGATCCAGGGTTTCACCCTGGGGCTTTTTGCTGGAGAATATAGCGCTCTTTCACAGTGCACCTATCTTGTTGTGCGTGAATTTGCAAAAGATGAGGCTGCCAGGAACTGTGACTGTTCAGAAGCAAAGAAGGAGTTTGTCGGAGCACTTGATGACCTTTTACTACTGTAACGGCGCATCAGGAGGTCCCCGACCCTGCACCCCCATCCGCAGCCAGCTGTGACACTCCTCCAGCCAGCAGAGTAGGTTTTATTGGTTCTCAGGGGCACAGCGTAGCATAGAAGCGATGTTAGCACAGATACCAAGAGCAGATGTCATTATTCCTCTCGGGGGGAAGGGGCTCCCGGGCCCTTCACCCCCTGCCTTCGTCTCAAACCTCCTTGCTCCCCAAGCCCAGAATTACCCCACAGCCACTGCTCACTGGCCCTAGCAGTCCTGCCTCCTCCATTGTCCTCCTTCCAGGCTCAAGGTGTTATCTGCTGTCACCTGGGCCTCAGGACTGAGAGACTGCACATATTTCCCCAATGAGTCACGCCCGGCCTCCCCCTCCTCGTGCAGCTAGTGCTGCAGTGCCCAGGGAAACTGAGGCATACCCACACCGTCACTGCAGAGGAGCCTAGGACAGTAGGAATCGCACAGAGCACAACAAAGCCAACAGTGAATGCAAAACCAGAGCGATCACAGGGCGACAGGAGTGGACAGAATCCCCACGACATCACAATACCCGCACTACATCACAACTACCAATGGTGACAGACCTCCCCCTCCCATGCTGTAGAAAATGAACGTGTGGACACAGATATGCCTAACTCAAAGGTGCTTTGGACAAATTGTCTCATGTAACCTGCCTATCTTCTTGCCATAATCCGCTGGGTCTGTTTATCTTTTTGGTATCCACCTTGTGTGTAAAATTAGACGTAAGGGCTACGTCTAGACTGACATGATTTTCCACAAATGCTTTTAATGGAAAAGTTTTTCCGTTAAAAGCATTTACGGAAAAGAGCGTCTAGATTGGCACGGACACTTTTCTGCAAAAGCACTTTTTGCGGAAAAGCGTCCGTGCCAATCTAGACACGGTTTTGCGCAAGAAAGCCCCGATCGCCATTTTCGCCATCGGGGCTTTTTTGTGCAAAACAGTTTTTAGCTGTCTACTTGTGCAAAACATTTCCGGAAAAGGGCTTTTGCCCGAACGGGAACATCAAAGCATTTGCGCAAGAAGCACTGATTTCGGACAGTAGAATGTCAATGTTTTTGCGCAAAAACAAGCGGCCAGTGTAGACAGCTGGCAAGTTTTTGCACAAAAGTGACCGCTTTTGCGGAAAAACTTGCCAGTCTAGACGCAGCAATGGAGTATGGAATGTTTTATGGTTTTAAATGTGCACAGGAAAGCCATCAAGGGTGTTTCCAATCGTGGGATGCCTCAGTGTCTGGGCAATCAGATGTAGATAGCCTTTTGTCCTTCAGTCTTAGCAGTGGTTGGTCTTAGGATGTCACATGACCTCTAACTGGTAGGGACTGGCCAGGTAACTTCCCATGCAAAAGTGGGAATCATTAAAACAATGGGACACTGGCAGGTCTTTTTTTGGTCAGGGCACTCCCCAGAAAGGGATCCAAAACCCCCAGTGTGAGGAGCTGCCCTGGTTTGAAGGATCAGCTGGAAAAGGAGCAGTTTTAGGGTGGGTTTGTAAGAAGTTTGTACCGAGGTTTCAGTGTTAGAGTTAGCATTTTCTGTTATTTTAATTTTGTAATCGACTTGGCTCTGCCTGTTCTCACTTACAACCACTTAAATCCTATTGCTTGTACTTAATAAAACCACGTTATTTACATTGGGCTTGATAGTAAAGAAATTGTTATGGGGGGGGGGGGACCAGTGTGTTACCCCTTTCATTGTTCAAGGGGGCTTACCTACATAATTCATTTGGGGTTCTCATCCCATTCGGGGACTGGTATCCCAGGAAGCTGTGCTCAGAACTGCATTTTCCTTGTACCTGGAGGGTTTCAGTTTCTGTGCTGCTTCTCGGGGGGCAGTGATCTCAGGTCAGTGTCTTGGCTGGGGGAGACCAGGGAGCTGGCCCAGCAAGACCGGGCGGTGAGAAGCCCCACATAGCAGGACGGTGAGTGACAGTGGCCTTGTCAGTACTCCAGCAGGCACCCTCAAGGGGTATTCTGTGACCCCCCCTCATCACCGCTGCAATGCATCAACAGCGAGATGCTGTTTTCAGGGGTGGAATCCGGCAAGTTAGCCCTTCCCACAGACATGCTTGCCCAGGTTCTTCCTGGCTTACAGGTTCGTGTCTCGGCACCGGTGCTCGGCTCGCTGTCTCTCCAGTGGCTTTGCTAGGCTGTCACGGACTAGTGCGAACCAAGAGCCTCTGGAGTTGGTCGATTTTGAATTAGGGAGCTTGACAAATGTTTTCATGTGAGAAGGCAGGCTGCCACATCGTGCTTGGTTTCACATGCGCACGCTGGAGTGACAATGCCGGATTTAGCTTTAGTTATCAACACTTCCCGCCTACGTTGGGCTAAGTAATTGTCCTGTTTATGCTCTGACAGGTTACACTAATGTATGCTAGAACGAGAGTGAAGATGAAAAGCCACCCAAGAGGGTTCGCGATTGTTACTAGCTGTGACAAGCGGTGTAAGCGAGATGTATGGATAAATTGCTACTGCCCCAGAGGTTATTCCTATTAGCTGGAGACCTATACGAAACCCTAACAAGGCATTAATACAGTTCAGCTAGTAAAATAAGCTTGTCTGTCCTGTCCAGAGCTCAGGATTAATGGTGCTTTCCAGCGTTTTCTTGATGCTCCGCTGACAGGTTGTGATAGACCTTTAAGTAAAATGAAAGCTCCGTAGGGCGGGTGGAATGAGTTGAGCAACGCTGGTGATTTAAAAGCTAATTTTTTAAAAAATAAAACAACACCAACATGGGTCTGAGTTGTAAAGAGTTTCTTGGAAAGACATTTTTGGGTTCCTCCCTGCATGAAGTCCAATAACGCCATGGAGACCGGATCTCAGGGAAGTCTCTCTTTTCACATCCGATTTTCTCTCAGAGTAAAAATCACTTGATTTCCTTCTTTAATCCATGCTTTGAGGCTCAGAGAGGTCCAAGTGCAGTGAGCAGCATCCTCCCCACGCCCTGAAAACTGATGCGATGAGAGTTAAGAAAAATGGACGTAAGGGATTTGAAATAGTCAAGCTACTGCTCGTGAGTCTAGGGAGCACAGCTCCTGAGGATGTGGAGGTAAGTTCCCGAAGAGCTGCAAGTGGAGTTGGGGCCGAAACACGTCCTTTGCCTCGCTACTTAGCTCCCAAATGCATGGTCTGTGCTTACACCTAGAATGAGGCTGGGCTTCTTTCTTAGGCATGTTGGAGAAGAGAAGAAATTCCGCTTTGACTGCATTTTGTCCAGTGCATTGAAAACTGGCGGAATGAAACCCGGGGGAATGAGGATCGGCTGGTGAATAAGACTCCGAATGGGGCACCGTGCCAATCCGTACCGGGCCCTATCCAAATGAAATCGCGAGGTGTTCTGAGCAGGTGTGAGGCTGGAGAGTGTGCGGGAGGAATGAGAAATGGGCAGAATATTCACAAACGAGAATTTGCCTTGAAAAATGAAACTCTGCAGCTGTGGAAAATAACCCTGCATGGGCAGGGAAGTCCTGGGAGGCCATAATGCTGATGGAGACCTAGCATGAGGGGCCACATCTCCAGCTGGTAAAAATTACTACAGCTCCCTTGATGTCAAAGGCTGATTCACACCAACTGAGGGGCCAGCTGCAGACTGTTCAGTGGTGAGAACACAGTACAGGAGTGCTCGTGGGAGGCAGACAGGTGGACAAAAGAGGAGAGACCGGAATGGTTGCTAAGGGCTCCAGTTCTGCCCCCTTTACCAATGTGGAAGCTATCTCCCTGTGAAAGCAATCCCACCAACTTCACTGGGGCCTCTTGTGGAGCAGTGTGAGTTAAATTGGCATAACTGAGCCTCTGCCTCTAACTACAGGTTGAAAAGAAGCCCAGTTAGACTGTGTCTAGACTACACGTCTCTGTCGACAGAAAGATGTAGATTAGGCACTTTGAAATTGCTAATGAAGCAGGGATTTAAATATCCCATGCTTCATTAGCATAAACATGGCCGCCGCTTTTTTCCAAAACAGAGCTTTTTGGAAAAAAAACCAACCTGGTAGTCTAGACACGGATCTGTCGAAGATAAACCTTTTTTCGACAGATCCTGGAAACCTCATTTTTGG